CGAATATGATACCTTTCCCATTCACAAATATATCATCCCCTTTGACATCATCATAGAATCATGACTCCCCTTATATCGCATAATAAGATGGAAACGACCACTCAAGCCACAGTTACTTTTTGTCATGGCATATTACGAATTGGTAGTAAATCCACGTAAATTTGTAGTTTAAAATTGCTTTGAAAACTTAATCTAAGCTTTGCTTAACTGAGGCAACGCTGACTGTTTTTACATTTTAATTCGTGATATACTTTTCCTCATCGAATCGCTCCCTGCAGAAACAACATCATAAGCAGATGTAATTCCACAGTCAACGGAGCGTTCACTGGGGTTTTCTGTTCCCGACAACCAGGAATGAGGCCGCCTCACACCGGAGACCAACGCTGAAATCCCGGTGCTGAACCACCACCACCGTCGCCGCCGAAAACCACGTCACAACGTCCGGTCAGACGCAGCGGGCGTTGCTAGGGCCCGCACGAGGACCTGGCTCGATTCGCCGCGGGGGCGGAGCGGTGTCGAAGGCGAGCCGCCGCCGTGCCCGCCCGGGACCCCCGCCTGCGGCGGCCGCCGCCCGCGCCGCTCCAATTGAGACTATCGATCACGGCTGAGAAGTGTGGGGACTGGGTTACGGTCGGCTCGGGCTCCGGCCAGGCTCCGGCGCCTCGGCCGATGCAGGCGGCGCTGAGCGTACTTACCAGGCACGGCAGATGGGAGGGTCAGTATGGGACACTCCTCTCTCTCTCTCTCTCTCTCTCTCTCTCTCTCTCTCTCTCTCTCTCTCTCTCTCTCTCTCTCTCTCTCTCTCTCTCTCTCTCTCTCTCGCGAGCTGTCTGTGCGCTGTTGGATGCCAGTGGCCGCCCGCTATGCAGAGAGAATGACGAGGGGGGGGATTTCGGTGATTTCCATGCTGCAGATTCGTGGAGGAATGTAGAAGCCGGGTGGGACCAATATATTAATGAATATATATTAAGATAGCTGGCTGGATTCCCTAGCACATTCAAGTAGTCTTGATTTTTAGTCTCATCAGAAGCGATTTTAAGGCAAATACGGGCTTTGTTACAGAGCAGAACAGCATGCTTCGGAAATTGCTGTGGCCCGGAAGTCACGAAATTTGCATACAGTGATCGGTATGCATATCAGCCGTGGGTGTCATGCGGGGTTTCATAAGCCTCAGAGTTCACAACTTTACTTCATTGCATGTATTTCTACAGCCACTTTTCGCTAAATCCCACTAGCTGAAAGAATTCATCAAGTGGTGAGTGAACAGCTCCCATGCTCGTGATGAGTGGGGTTTGTGCGGTGTATGGGCCCCTCGGGTGTCATTACCGCTGGAATCGACGCCCGGGTGGCGCGAAGGCTTATCCTAACGAATGTACAGACTGACCGGTGTGGGCCTCAATGGGCTAATGATAGAGCCTGAGAAAATAGCATGATTTGCCATGGGTCGTGAATCTGAAATCTGGCCATATCAGACAGCGAGGTGAGCAAGCTGACATCAGTGAAATGTGGCCACATCAGACAGCGAGGTAAGCAAGCTGACATCAGTGAAATGTGGCCGGGTGAATGAGCTCGTCGCCATGACATTATAGCTTGGCTGGGGTTGTTAGAGACAGTGCGCTCATTTACTCCCGCTGTCTGTAAGGAGTTTCACTAGTCATTGGTTCAGTACTCCGTTAATGCCGCATGGCGAATTTGAACTCGGCATCCACGATCTCTGCTGCTTCATGTCAACATCGAATCGCGTGATTTTGGTAGGTGTTCTCAGCGTGGCATGCTGGCTGCCGGAGCACAGCCGTGTGGCGTTCTCTGGAAGCCTCTCAGGACGTTCGTTCTCAACAGCCCGACCCTCGATGCGAGAATTGCTCACGCAAAAGACTACGTTGTCTGTCGCCCGGAGTAAAAAGTGATGACGGATGGAAATGCGTCAAGTGACCACAGGCTCCCAATCTGTGACAGGCGTTCTCTGTGGCCCATGTTATATCGGTCCCCGCCCTCCCCTAGTCTGCCCAGCATCTGTCCACTACGAGTGTGCAATTCCCTCAGGAGTTGGAACAACACAGTAGGTATGTGCATTCATGCATTCAGGCGCATGAGCTAAACCGATACACGGCTGGAATGTCGATAGGGCCACGCCTGCTAAGCAGCGAACCAGAATCTGATTGAACGGGCTTAACAGAGCAGAATGCGCCGACGAGGTACGGCGGCTGAAGAGCGGAAGGACCACTCTTCTTTTAGTTTTCCATCCTGGGCTGGAAATTCACACCAACCGCGTACCAGACGATCAGATCGTTGTCACATCCCCCGACACCAGACGTTGGGCCCCGACCGAGCCCGGGTCGACGTCCCCGGGGGCCGGGGTCAACAGTCCGGGTCAGCCTCTAGTCAGCAGTCCTCACGCACATGCTTTGGCGGCCGCCGGGCGCGCCACCGAGCGAGCGAGGAGCTGGCTTGTCGGCTGAAGAAGTCAGCGGAACCTAGAGGTCAGCGTGACGCGAACCCCTTCAACGGTGCGAGCCAGTGGCTGCGTGGACAGTCGGACACGCCGCTGAAGGCATCCATGCCGGGATCTGGGTACCCATGCCTGGATCCGGATATCCATGCCTGAATCCTGCCATTATCAGCGCATGTTGTGGACCGTCCGACGCATCGTTAGTGGGTTTCAGAGACCCTTCGACATTTCATCAGCTTGTGCCGTGGATAGCCTGACACATCGTCGGTGGGTGTTAAGGACCAGCTCACATTTCATCGGCGGGTGCCGGGGGCCGTATGGCACTTCATCGGCGGGTGTCCGGACCTTCTGAATCCTAAGCCGGTGAGTGTCCGGACGATCTGACACTTTCGGCGTGTGTCCGGACCACCCGGCACTTAACCAGCGTGTGCCCCGGACCTCCTGATACTTCGTCGGTATGTGCCCGGACCACCTGACACTTCCAGCGGCGTGTGTCAGGACCTGCCGCGCTGGGCCAGTCCGGCGGTGCGTGGCGGTCAGCCGGCGGCGGGTGGCGAGGCCGACCCGTCCGGCTCATTCTAATCCATTTTGTCGGCCATGATGGATGCACCCAATCTCGGCTGGATGTCGCATGGATATGGTGTCGTTTATCATTGCTGCTGAATACAGGACGAGGCGGATCGGAACCGCTGAGACACGTGCGTCTGGCTCTGGATATGTGCTGAGTTTCCCGACGGCGTCACGACGCTCGACAAAACTCGCCGTGTCTAATGCCGCCAGCAGAATGAGATGTTTGATATTGGCAGAGGCGGACTCGAAATGCGCAGTTGATCTGGGTTAACAGTGCAGCGTGCTCTTGTTTCACTGCAACATTCATCGAATCGACCGTCGCCCTCGTGGGCGGCCCTCGTCGCCAATTTGGAGTCAGGTCACGGGCGCTCAACTGTCGCGCGCGCTTGTGACCGGCTGCGTTTCCGCGCGGCTGACTGCCTCGTCGCTGGCTCTGGCCAGGGGCTGGCTGCCAGTCCATTCGCGGTGGGGACCACCGTCACAGTTGATCCATGTCACCGCATCCGGCTGACATGGAGCGCATGTCGAGCCGACCAAATCTCATTCTCACCGTCCGGCGCCGCGGCGCCGCGACAAGCCCAGCGATGCCGTCGGCGCCGTCAGCCGGCGCGAACGAGCGGCCGCTTCGTCGACACGGCGCCGCCCCGAGGCGCACCGACCGCACGCCGCCGCGGTCGGCGAGGTCTTCACGGGGCAGACGGACGCTGCCCTCGCGCCCCGTCTGCAGCTGTCACCTCGGGCGGCCGTGGGCCAGCGTCGACGGCCTGTCGTCTGCGGCCGCAGCCTCCTGGGCTCCCCTAGCGTGAGCGCTGTCGCGCTGGGTCCTGCGGCGCCAGCGTGGTGACGTCGGTCTCGTCGCATCACCACGCGGAGCGAGCAAATGTTGAGTGCCAGCTGCCTCCATATCCGGAGGAGCGGGCGGCCAGAGTGTGGCGCCGCGGTCTCGCGCGCACGCGAGGGCGCAAGCCGGCTGGCTCCAGCTGGCTACCGGTGGCCCGCCTACCACCGGCACCCTCTATCTCGTGGACAGTCTGCCTGCCCCCGTGGCAGCGCCGGCCTCCGACCAGCTCGCGGGAGGGGAGAGGGCAGCCGGATGGGCTCTGGTTGCCGAGGATCACCGTCGGCTGGGCGATGGGCTCACTCCTCTTGATGGCGACAGTTGGGTCCGAGGTTATGTGTCGGACGTCAGCTGAGGCCGCGAGATAGTCCTCGGCCTGCGTTTTGACGCTGGCTGCCGTGGGGAGGGGGCTGGTGCAGGTCACAGCTCGCTCGCCTGGCCTCGTTCTGTACGAGGCGTACCTGCCAGAATGGGTGGCGATGTGTGATGTTGCCTCGTTTGCTGATTTGTACTGGTCTAATCGGTACTACTCAGCGTTCGTATTTTAGCGGGTTCGTGAGAGCTTTTAAAACCCACCGACCGTCCCAACACGGGCGATTCGCTGTTTTTTTTTTTCTCTGCACCCAGTCATCATTAGCCAACTATCACCTTTCTGTTAACATTTGATGCACTGCTGGCGGAATCCGGATCATAATAGAGTCAGATTGACGCCAACAAATGGCATGAACTTAACCAGGGCCCAGAGCCTTTAGTTATGCAATGAGCTCATTAACCGGGTCACGAGCGATCTTCGCACAAACGACATATTTGTTTCATCGGATTACATGAGAAAACCACGCGAGAACGGGAATGAAAAATATAATAGTTTTGCCCATGCGTTCGTGCATTGATGCTTCAGTCCAGGTAGAAATACGCCATGATTTACTCCAAAGCAGTAAACTGGGCTCAACTAAAACGGTTGCATTTCATGGGCTGTGTTTCCCTTAACGTTATGTCCATGGTAGCTGCACATTGGCAACACGGTTGGCAACGTTAAACGTTTCTTTTGTTAAAATGCTGACAGCTAGTGGATTCCTGCTAGCGAAACTGTACCCGCCGAAGACGCAAACCGAATCGCCTTTAACCGTCCATACATATTCCCAGAAAGGCACCAAAAACGCGCTGGAGACGGCGCGGACCTTCGCCACCATCATCGCCGACCTGGACGTGCGGCAGCGGCTGCTGGAGGCGCACGCCGAGCACGAGTTCCTGCAGCTGGTGGTCAAGCAGAGCCAGATGATGCTGTCCGAGGGCATGGTGATCGCTATGCCAGCTGACGGCGGGACGCAGCAGCCGGCCCAGGCGAGTCCTGCCCCGGCTGTGCGATGAGCACATGTACGCAACGTGTTGTTAAGGGTGAATTAGACTTGCTGTTTGGCGGGGACGGATTTGGACATCTGACTTGCGCGGATAGACAGGCTCAGTGGCTGGTATCTACGGCGTTGGGGCGCTCAAACGGCGACACTCGCAATGTTCGGCCTCGAGGCACGGAAACACCAAGGCCTCGGACAGTCTAAAGACGAATGGGAACAACGGCGCGCCGTCTGCCGGACCGGACCGCTGTGAACAGCACCAGCTGTGCTGTGATCGATCCTGGCTTGTCAGCGTGCTGTGTCGAAAGTACATGTCGAGCCCGTTTGAGGTTACCGGAGTCTGCCCGTTTCTGGTGTTGTTCGACACGGTTCAGACTTACAAGTACCCAATGCTCGCCAAAGTTTGCTGGGGCCTGCGCCCCGCCGAACCCGGCCGCGAGTTCGCCCTCGGCGCGAAACGCAAATGTGAGTGCAGCTCTGCCGCCAGGAGAGGGAGAAGCTGTGTTCGATCGGACGCGGTCTGAAGGACGACCTGCGCCGCCGGTCAGCCTGCTACGTTCAGGTACGCCGCGTCACGAGTGTCGCTCTCTCGAGGCTCGCGCTCTGTGCCTGGCCACTCTAGGCTTCGCAGCAGGTCAGAACCCTCTTGCATGGGATGGGGCGGGCGGTGACGTGTCGGGAGCCGCGTTGCTTGCTTTATTTCTGCTGTGAAATATAGCTAAATGGCTATCTACTACTTAGCTAGAATGTTTTACGCGGCTATTTAGGGGAAAAGTGGGCGAGGGTGGGGTCGTGGATCTTGTGGTTTACTGTGAATAATGCTTAAGCCACATTTTAACATGGTCCTTGCACGTTTCAATCTTGCAATTTATACTTTGGCATCCTTGTCATCGCTATGTTCATCTTGATAGCGCTAGATTGGCAACCCACTCACTGCTCTAGCTGTGCTTGGTTTTGTATGGTGGATTGATGCCGGTCTGTTTTAACAGGATTTCGTGGATGGCTTTGTTGGCAATAAGACTCTACAAAAGACGATATCTACCACTTTCTTCTTATACTTCGCCTGCATCCTCCCTGCCATAGCTTTTGGCATTCTTAATGATCATAACACAGACGGCAAAATAGGTGAGAACCTACCAAGTGTTCATGATTGCCTGTCTTGCTCAGCCTGTGTCCATACCTTGTTGTTCACTAATGCCATTGTGAGTGTGCGACAACTAGAATTGACACATGTTTGGGGCTCCGGTACCATGTCATGTGCGGCTGATGTCATGTAATGTCCGGCTCATGTCTTGTCATGTCATGTGACCGTGGTTGTACATTCGCATGTTTCGCCCTGTTTTGTTTTTATTTTTGGTTTGTTTCTGAATGGATCTTCATAACGTGTTTTAATTTGGACGCATTGTATTGGCTTGTTTTGGGAGGGCTGCGGCTCGCTAATCAATTGTCGCAATGAGTCGCCTGTCTACTACAATGCAGTGTTGCGGTGCATGGTTTTGGTTCGCAGACCATGGTCTTACGGACGCAGTAGCTGAGGAGATTCGCAGTCGACCTGTTCGTGCTAAGGTGGAGATCACGAGGACTGTGAGATGCAAGAGCGGTCTGCTCGGTTTGGGCATTGGTCTGGAATCCGACGGCGTCCCATCTGGCTTCGGCAATGTCCAGCACTTGCTGCACGAGTGTCCGGTCCAAGTTGCAGGAGTGTGCAGTCCTCGCTACGGGAGCGTCAAGTCCAGACAGTAGGAGTTCTCAGTCCAGGCTGCTGGAGTACCCAGTCCGGCTGTATGAATTGTCAGTCCAAGCCGCAGGGGTGTCCTATCTCGGGTGCAGCAAAGTTTCTGCTCACACATATAAGGCCTGCTAGGGCTTCAGGAGTATCCAGTCCGGGTCGCAGCATCGCTTTGCTCGGGCTGCAGAAGCTGATCGGCTTGGGCGGCCGGAGTCTGGGATGCGGAGGTTTGCGATGCATGTCTAGATTGATGCGAAAGTCCGGGATGGAGGGGCATCGATTCTGGACCGCAAGAGTGTCCTGTCGAGCGACAGGGGGTCCCACCAGGGCTGCAGGAGTGTTCTACCCGGGCCGCAGGAGTGTCCCGTCCGGGCCGCAGGAGTGACCTACCCGGGCCGCAGGAGTGTCCCGTCCGGGCCGCGAGAGTGTCCCGTCCGGGCCGCAGGAGTGTCCCGTCCGGGCCGTAGGAGTGTCCCGTCCAGGCCGCAGGAATGTCTGCGCGGACCACGGGGGTTGTCTTGTCCTGGGTGCAGGAGCGTTCCTACTCGTGCTACAGGAGTGCCCTGTCAAGGAGCGCAGGAGTGTGCCGTCCGGGCTGCAGGAGTTTCCTGCCCGGGACGCGAAAGTGTCCTGCTCAGACTACGGGAGTTTCCAGTTCTGGGTCCAGGAGCGTCCTTCTCGGGCTGCAGGAGTGTCATCTTTTAATTACAGAGGGTGTTCGGTCCAGACCTTAAGGTGTGACTTCCCGACGCACAGGAGTGCCTAGCCCGGACCGTAAGAGTGTCCCACTGGGACTGCAGGAGTGCCCAGCCTAGGCCGCAGGAGTGCCTGGCCCGGGCCGTAAGAGTGTCCTGCCGGGACTGCAGGAGTGCCTAGCCCTGGGCCGCAGGAGTGCCTGGCCCGGGCCTGTAAGAGTGTCCCGTCCGGGCCGTGTCCGAGCCGAGGACCTCAGGAGTGCCCTGCCTGGCCCGCGTCCGCACCGGGCCGACACGAGCCGTGGCCCCCGCCGGTGCTCGGCTCGCTCCACCATCGCGCCGGTGCGAGTTGACAGCCCGGTCGACAGTTGACAGTTGACAGTTGAGTTGACAGCTCGGCAAAATCGGTGTCATCGCCATCACCATTGCGATCAGGCACCAGCCGGCAATACCGCTCAGATTGGGAGAACCAATAGGCGCCGCCGCTCGACAGCGGCTGAGCTGTGGTGCGAGAGCTGAGTCCTCCAGCTGTACCATCTGGTGATCATTGGTGTCTGCTCACTTGTGACTGACAGTCACTGGTTTCTGCTAACTGTTGACTGGTTGTCACGGGTATCTACTCATCGTTCACTAGCGGTTGCCGATTTGTATGTGATCTGAATGGTTATCACTGGTTCCCACGCACTGTCGATTGGTTCTCGCTGGTTCCCAATCGCTGCTGACAGGTGACCACTGCTTCATGCTCACTTTGAGTGGTATTGTTTGGCCCTTGTTCACTGCTGACTGGTAATGACCGGCCGGATGGTTTGCGGCCACCTCCTGTGTGCCGCCCTAGCCCTGTGCCTCCCTAGATAAGCAAACCTCCGCAAACCAATGGTAATAGTTTTTTCTCACTTGGTTTGATAACGAGCGGTGTCTACTCCCTGTTGACAGGTGTTCTTGGTGCATTCTCTCTGCTGGTTGGTAATCGCTGATCCTTGCCAGCCGCCGACAGCCAATCACTGGCTTCCACTCACTGTTTCAGTCAATCACTGGTTCCTGCCAATGTTGACTGGTGATCACTGGTCATTTCTGTCTGCGACTGACACAGCCCTGCTCACGTCTGGATGGTTGTCGCACGGGGCTATTGGCAGCACAGGGGTTAGGCTGAGCGTCGGAGAACCAGAGGTTCGTGGTCCTATTCCCAGCGGCACCGCCCTCTCTGTCTGGCTGAGAGGCAGGCCACGTCCCATAGCCTCAGCAGCTGAATGCGTCGTAAAGCCGCCATGGCAACAACAGCTGGCTGTCGCGGGACGCTGTTCGCTGTTGTTTGGTCACCCCGGGTACGTACCCAGTGCTGATTGGTAATTCTGGCGTCTTCTCGTCCTCGCCACTTATTAAAAATCACCGGTTCCGACGCACTGCTGACAAGCAGGTGATCACTGCTCGCCACTCACTGCTCGCTAGCAGTTGCTAGTCCTGTTCCCAGCCAGTCGGTAACCAAGCTGTCCCAGTTACTGCTCGCTGGTGGATGCTAGTCCTGCTCCCAGCCAGTCGGTAACCAAGCTGCCCCAGTCACTGCCCACTGGCAGCTGCTGGTCCGGCTCCGAGCCAGTCGGTAACCACGCTGCCCCAGTCACTGCCCACTGGCAGCTGCTGGTCCCGCTTGCAGCCAAATGGTAACCAAGCTGCCCCCTGGCACTGCTCGCTAGCAGTTGCTGGTCCGGCTCCCTGCCGTCGGCAACCGTGCTGTCCCAATCACTCCCCACTGGCAGCTGCTGGTCCGGCTCCCAGCCAGTCGGTAGCCACACTGCCCCTGTCACTGCCCACTGGCAGCTGCTGGTCCGGCTCTCAGGCAGTCGGTAACCACGCTGCCCCTGTCACTGCTCGCTGTTAACCGCCGCTTGTGCGCTCCTCGACGATCGCTGGCTCGGCGCGCGTGGCACAGCCGTCCAGAATACAAATGGACCTGACCTAATTACGATTAGTCACCACACACGCCGCGGTTTTCAAGAGGAATTCTGCAGCGGCACATGGACGTTGGTCAGGACAGTGCCGGCGGAACCCCTTTGGAGACGGACGGCTGTCTTTTTGGCAACGGCCTATGCTTGACATCATGCGTTACCGAAGTTACGGGCTGCACTCTCTATCCCCATAGCCCATCCCGCTGCGGATACTTGCGTGTGCGGTTTGATGCCATTGAATTGCTTTCTTATAGGTCGATATTTCTCGGTCGTGTGGCCGCCCCAGCTTTTTATCGGGACTGGACCAAACGGATCCGGACAGCACTTCCATGGCCGACATGACCCTTGTCTGGAATATGAATGCTTTTGTTCTCACGAACTTCGCTCCAGTGCGTGCAGTTTGGCTACGTGTTCTACTGACCTGTCCTTTCTCACACCTCGCGGTTGTGAGCAGCACTTGCTAGACGCGAAATGATAAGTTAGGTCTATAAGTGTCTGGACTCACCCAGATCCCGTAACGATCTGCTTCGCAATGCAGGGCACGTTCTCACCCCGCAAAAAGGGCCCGAGAATGAAGCGAATAACTGTCAGAACTGGGCTATTTTAGCAAATCCGGGTAAGTCCCTCGCACCACATCGACATCGCCCGCACGTTTCCGTGAAAGCGCCAGAATTTCCGAGGTGCTCCGAGACGTAGTGGCAATCACGCGTTTTTACGGCACGCGGCAGTGCCATCTCGATTTAATCAGTAGTTCCCGTGTGAGTAAACGCAGGGCACAGCTGCCGTGCCTCTCAGGTCAACTTAATACCGTGCATATATGCATGCCGAGTGTGGGTCGGGGTTCCAGAAAGGTATAGTTTAGGAAGGGAAAGGTGAGGTAAAGTAAGGTAAGGTATGCACACACACACACACACACACACACACACACACACACACACACACACACACACACACAACACACACACACACACACACACACACCACACACACACACACACACACACACACACACACACACACACCACACACACACACACACACACCACACACACACACACACACACACACACACACACACACACACACACACACACACACACACACACACACCACACACACACACACACACACACCACACACACACACACACACACACCACACACACACACACACCACACACACACACACACACACACATATATATATATATATATATATATATATATATATATATATATATATATATATAGAGGTGCGTATCGATCTCCCCATGTGTATGTGTGTATTATATTATGTGGTACAATTCACGTGTTATTATGTTATTATACAGCTGTTATATAACCGTGTAAATGTTGCTTGTTACAAGCGACACGACAGGCCGAGCGAGACTCAATTAAACAATGGGCAGATGACCAGCCTGACGAGCCAGGATGATGGGATGGGCGGAGCTCGTCCCCCTTTTTAGAAATCACAGTTTTTGCCACCACTGATCGAATGTTCATGCAGTTTTCAACAGGAAGGGGCGCAATGTTTTGAACTTTTGCTATAGAAATCGGGATGCATTTGTGTGCAAGCCTTTTTGTCCAGCGAGCGTTTTATACGATATGGCAATATCACCAGGCTTTTACTCTCCTCATTTGATTCACGTGAAAATGGATCATTTTCAAATCGTGCGAGCGGTGAACAGAGTGAACTCATAAACCTTCAGCACGCACGTGTTTGAAGCTTGGTACAGATTTCTACGACTCGATGTCGCAGCGACAGAGACAAACAGATCCTGACGGAGGAAAAAGCTGACAGTCATCATTGGCAAAAGCGTGGATCAATGTGTGCAGACGATCCGTTCTTTCATGTGCCAACCACGAACTGCCCCCTTTGAGACCCTTTTAAGGATCTGTGCCAGTTCTCAGCAGTCGGAGGCGATGCAGGCGTTGAGAGCAACAACACTGTGTACGCGCGCAGACACCGGCGACAATTACGGATCCCGGAAGGGTCCGACGCCTGAGCTCGTCAGCAAGTACCCGGGAGTCGGTCAATGCTCTCTTTTCAAAACTGATCTCCCATATAAGGCGCTGGGCATAGACCCACAATCATCTGACCACGAAAAACGATGGAGGTGCGAGGAAATGCTTATTTTGAGAGACCTCCATCCAAAATATTGAATGTTTTGCGATGCTTGTGTCACAATTTCCCTAACCTTAACGGATTGCAAATTCATCGATGTCACCAATTAAAATTCCTAAGCCTCACCAGACCCATAGCCAGTCATCTTCAAAGTAGCGTTAAATTGGTGATAAGCGTGCGAATGATAAGTCACAAGACTTCAGCCTTTCGAATTATCATAAAAGTTAGTTTCCAGGGTATCGATGCAACCCATCCACGTCGGTTGCCGAAGGTGTCTGGCTCCATGAGTGTGCCTTTCTTGTCGCTATGTGCGTGACAACAACCGAGAACTCTCCCGTATGGCATTGTCTCACCCGCCCATCGCACACAAGGCGACTTACTGGCACCATTTACGTCAAACCATTTACGTCAAGCCAAAGCAGCAGGTCTTGCGCCGCATCAATGGGTCGGATCAACGTGATGCAAGACTCGGTGGGGTCAGAAATGCACGACCCGAAGCTTTGAATTATCGCCTAAGCACTATGACGGCAGGCAGAGCAGTCCGCCAGGGAGGCTTATTATCTGATGAATCTGGCTTTAAACTCCGTGTTCTTTGCAATCGCGGTATAGTTTGTATACGGTTTTCAATTTACCCTCCTCGTGGGGCCGTCGCACTGGCCATCGTTATGACCCGTCGGCATCTAAACAAGAACGGTGAAGCACCATACAGCTTTCCCACCTTGGAAGGTAGAACTGGTACAAGGCAGCACTAGAAGACAGCCGGTATTTCGCATCAAAACCCTCCTGTTTTACTCCGGCGTAGTGCTTACTCTCTCTCTCTCTCTCTCTCTCGTTTTTTCCACGGCGTAGGCTGGCACCGGGTTCGCCTTCCTGACGTCGTCATGAGCCGTCAGAGCTTCGGGCGGGTGCGGCAGCGTGAGGCACGTCAGGTTGCATGGCGTGGCCGTGCCCGGAACCTTCGGCTGCTTGTGGGGGTGGCAGCCGGCTGTCAGCGTCTCCAGGCGTCTGTTCGGAATGACCATCGTGTGTTCGCCCAGAGAGACGCCTCCTGCGGCTCGCGCACTTCGCCGTGCTTTTGAACGGCTTTTCCCGCGGCGCGGAGCTGTTCCGTGTCGTCACAACTCAACCCGCACCCGGGGCGGTCGCGCTCCATCCGCCGCGCACAATGCCCGGCTCGGCTGACGTACGTGCAGCTGTCCAGCGGCGGCGTCGGCACCTTCGGACAGGGGGCAATGGATGTGGCCCCAGTTCTAGCTGCGTCCCTGCCCCAGCTTTCAGGTCGGACAGGCTGCGTTCAGTGGGGCGCTGACGTCCAGGCTGTCTGTGACGTTGAACATGAGAACGCTGCGCGCCCTCCCCTTCCCCTCCCCCTCCAAGCATCGCTCCCGTGCCCATGGTTGCCGCGCGTCCACAGACGTGAAGAAGGTCATCATCGGCCAGACGCTGGGCGGCCTCTTCTTCTACGTGTTCGGCGGCCAGCCGCTGATGGTGCTGCTCACCACCGCGCCACTCGCCATCTACATCAAGAGTGAGTGACTCTAGAGAGGCGTGGCCGGGCGGTGGGAGCGGACCGGGTGACCTTGTCAGTGGCGCCGGCGAACACCGACAGCGAGAGGCTGTGTGGAACAGCGGCAAGCGTCGGCCAGTTCTGTGACGCGGCCGTGAAGGGTCACGGTTCCCAAGCGGATCGATGGTGCGGACGTGCGGTGCAGATTCGCGGTTGTTGTCAAGAGCCGGGCGCGGAACAGACGTGAAACGTTTTCAAGTTCTCGGAACGGATACAATCTTAGGCCTGTAATTTCTGGGCAGCACAATAGCGGCCATCGCTACAACGGGGCAACGCGCTTCAAAAAAGAAGCATCTGGAAAGGAGGCACTTGCCTCTTGTGAGCGGGACATGGCCAGTCAGAGGCGCGAGTGGACCGCCTCAGCCGTGGCGCCTGCTATCGGCGGCGGGGGCGCCGGCCCGGACGGCCCAGCCTCGCGATTGATGAACGCCAGATTTGTGTTAACCATTCTTCCCAGAAGATTATGCCGCGGAGTTGAAATTCAGGCTGCGATCGATATGTCGGCCGACTTCGGGGCGCTCGGGCGGTCCGCGCTGCGGTAGGGGGGGGGGGGGGGGGTGGGTAGGGGTGTTGTGCCTGTTGGTGCTTGCGTGGAGGAATGCGCCGCTGGTCTGAACTGAGTGCCCAACACTCAGCCGTCGGAAGAGAGCACTCTTCAAGCAGACACTCACCAGCGCCACTCAGCTGCCTGCAGTCACACGCGTTACGTGGCCGATCACCTGCGTGGCGTACTATGTTTGACTGATGATTAAGCACTGCGTGAACCGTCTCGTTTTACGCCAGTGCTAAATCGCTTGTGTCAGTGACCGGCAGCTGACGAGAAATTCTAGCATGCAAAGCAAAATCGTCCACGGCGTCGGATCACAGCTGACGCTCATTGTCATGGGCATCCATTGCCGAAGGTGACCCTGATGTGCTGTCGTGGTTGCGATGCGTGAAGTGAGCGTAACATGGTTTGAAAGATCTTGAAGAAGCTGCGCTAAGTTTCAAACACATCACAGTTTGACTCAAAGTATCGAGCTGCCCAGAACAAAGACGTAGCGTCATGAACCACCCAGTCCTCACCTCCGATAATTTTGTTTCAGTCATCAACACGATATGCACTGACTTCTCGATCGACTTCTTCTCCATGTACTGCGCTGTCGGGCTGTGGAGCTCGTTCTTCATCGTGCTGTACAGCGTTGCTCGACGTATCCCGGCTCATGCGATGGTCCACCCGCTCAACGGAGGAAATTTTCGCCATCTTCATCTCCATCGCCTTCTGCGTGGACGCCTCTCGAGACGTGCTGGTCGGTACGTCACTGTCGGGACGTGCTGGTCGGTACGTCACTGTCGGGACGTGCGACGGGTGCCTCTCTGCTCGATAGCGGCTGTTTAACAGCTGCTTGGACTAAGAGTTATATGAAGTGGCATTTATAGGGAGATGAATATCAAAGGAAAAAGCCAACGTAGTTTGAAGTGTTGGGCGACCAGCACGCCTAGATACTTAATGGATTTCTTCCATGTAAGCAAATTAAAATCCGCTAGATGCTGTTAGGAGCACCGCTCCCAGCCAGCTGAGTTGAATTAATGGTGCGGCGTCGAAGTTGCCAGCAAGAAACCAACCAAAAAGAAATAGTTTAAGAGGCAACAAGCTCATTTACTCTTCAGAAATTTATCAGGGTGTGAACAGGCTAGTGCCCGGCGGATGCCGTGAGCAGCGCGAATACTGGCCGCCTTAACAGAAAACGGGTTGCGGCATCTGAAATGTTCACGTGGTCTTTAGATTTTCGGAAGAATTACTGGTCTCCGGCGTGCACCGGCGCCATCCCGGACCACAACGTGACGTCAAACGGCACCGCCAACGACACAATGGCGGTGGTGCTGGACTGTCAGAGGGAGAAGAGCCTGCTGTTCCTGCTGCTCATGCTGGGAACACTCTGGGTGGGGGTGTCACTGTACAATTTCAACAAAACGTGAGTACATCAAGTATCGCTGTTCCATTCTTGTGCCCGTTTCTGCCTTTTTATTATAATCCTAAGGAGATTTTATTAAATCCCGATGAACGTTGATGGCTTGTTCCGGATTGCATACATGACGTGTTCCATTAGTGCTCATCTTAATATGTGCAACGACTGTGTCACCCATGTATGGAGGCAAAAAACGTGACAGAGCGAATCTTGGTATATCCTGTGCAGATGTGACGTCACGAAACTACCTGTAGCATGGGCAGGCCAGTACTCATATTGAGCCTCCACCTAAAAAGAGCATCCTTAACCTAAACGTATAAAGATTCCAATCGTTACTGTCTTGATCACACCTGTAACTGTTTTTATAACGCGGCAGGTCGATCGTGCACGCCATTTCCCTTGAGCACAGGCGAGCCAACCTTTCCGTAGGTAGATCTGAAAACAGAAGCATGTACTTACATAAACAAACGCAAGAATTCAGCACAACACGAGCATCTATAACAGCAAACAAACTATAGAGCCGTCTAACACGTCTGCATTACTGATGGCTTTTCTGCTGTTCGCCTCCGCTCGATCAGAACAAAGAGCACCTTTCAGTCATGACAGTCGTGGGTAAGTGAGGTCTGCTTCCAGTTATGACAGGGACTCCTCTTAGTTCAAAGCGGACCTTCTGGTGTCATGGCGATATCAGTAATGACGAGGTTCTCTTGCCGCACTGCGCACCTGGAACCATACAAGTGCTATGTAATGAAGGGTCGGAGTCTTCTTTTCGTCACGACAAGGAGCTCTCATCAAATGCTAGCTTTTCGCCATACAATATTGTTTGCTTGTTGGGATGTGGTCTCATTCATGTCAGATCCTTCCTCTGGAAATCAATGAGACATACTCTCAGCCAGAACAGCGTCCGTTGTGAGCGTCTTGAACAGACCAAGCATATTTACGGCTAAGATATCCTCTGTGCCAGTTTGGGATTTACACTTGGTCCTCGTGTGGGCCTTCTGGCGCGTCACAACCCTCAACCACTTAACGTCCGCACAAGAGCGGGGTCTCCCATCATTCACGATAGGGGCCTACTGCAGCACAGTCACTCTGGACACTATCCGATCCTTCCACAACTGGGGCCTTCCCCGATCATCACGTCAATACGTTGCTTTCCTTGCTGGGCCTCGGACCGCATCCGGAAACTTTTGCAGCACAATCACTCCCAACAATGCCCGATCCTTCCACAGCTGAAGCCTGCTCTCGATCATCACGACATTCCTTTGTCAGTTTTAGCCGGTCCTTCTGACCGCATCATTTCTCCTTACCGTGTATATCAGGCCTTCGACGTTCAAGGTTCTTCAAGGCAAGGTTTTCAAGGATACTCTTTCGATTTCGGGATAAGCAGTAGATGCACTTGCTCACGCTATCTTTTCAGGACAGGGTAGGTAACTTTCCACCCCGCCCTGCCGGTGGCGTAGACCATGGTCCTACGAGTTCAGGGATCAGGGTTGTCCTCGTTGACAAACGAGTTGAAAGATGGCTTAATTTGCACGTGATGTTTTCGGGACATGCATGCATTTTCTAGATGATATGAGCGATGCTCTATTAGGGCCCTCTGACTCGAGCGAGCTCCCCTCCCTTTTGTAATGCTGCGGTGTCAAGGGGCGGATTCGGCTGCGATTCTGAACCAATCCTACCTGGATCGCATGTCTTACCTCGACCGCGCTGCATAGCTAATTGTGGCTGTTTCGAAATGGAGCTACAATATTCTGGTAACATACTGCAGAAACAGTAGTACTTTTCCGGTACCCAGCGGTGCTGGCCTGCATTGAAACGTTGGAGACCAATATCAGCGCCGGCATCGAACGAACTTTGTCAGCCCGAGGACGCGTACCCGTGCGCCAATGCTGGTGCTGGTACCATGCTTTTACCAGGCTGTTTGAAAATATCGGATCGCTGCCGCTAAGCCGTTGTGTTACACTGTTGCAGGCCGTATCTGGAGGCGAGCAAGCGGGAGCTGCTGGCCGATTACTCCCTTCCCATCGCCGTCCTCGTGATGAGCTTCGTCGGCTCCTTCCTCTTCGCCGATGTCAATCGTGAGTTACCTGACCCCCTCCCCCCGAGGCGCGATAGACAAACGCAAGCGTGATGATCCGATCGCACTGGAAGCAAACGCATTATATGCCGCGAAAAAAGTGAAAAAGGTAGCGTTTCTTCCTTTAGTTCTGTCTAACCTTTTACTTTTAACTTCCTTTTACGGGAGGAAGAGGAAGTAATGATGCTTTATATCGCGTTAATAGTGCAAATTATTTGCCGATTAGGGTGTGCATTGGGCACTGTCTGAGACAGATCACCAAATCATCGTATGCTTACGAACTCAAAGTGAATGGATTTCTCTACGGCAATCACAAGCTGTCAGCTGTCGCAGCGATCAATGGTGGCTTCAGGCTCGAGTTGCCTTTTGCAGCCCGACAGGATTATTGCGCCGTGATTATTTTACCCATTTACTGAGTGCCGTGATTATGTCACTCAGTTACTGAGTGCCACGATTGTTCAACTCAGCTACCACGGGAGACAGGGTGCACGCTCAAAGATGGAAGAAGACAAACAAAACTGAACTGTTGCAAGCCTTGTCACCGGCTGTCATCATGGATCTCAAAGTCGGGCTAACAAAATTGATGCAATTGGCTGAAACCTTGCTGTGCATGCCTCATGTATCTAGTTTCGGCATTATAAGTTGGAAGTTCTGTGCATGCCTCATGTATCTAGTTTCGGCATGATGAGTTGGAAGTTCTTATGTTGAGGTCGCAATCTTCAAAATAATATGCGGTACTGGTTCAACAACGCTGATTGTATTCATGGTTCTCATCTGAGTGCCGCCACCGCCGGTACTGCGGTCAATACCGGTATAATGACGCAAAATCAGGAGCTAAAGGTTTCCCTTTCTTATAAAAAGTATTTAGTTTCTACTCAAACTGTTCAGCATATTGTTGTAACCAAACGTTTCGATGCTTTAAATGCAGGAGACCGGATGTGAAATTACACCCTTCAATTTTAAAAAGTATAAGCTTAAAGGCCGGTGCCGTGTTCCCGGGTTAGCTTTCATGAACGTGACACATTTCACAAGACACCACACATCGGCAACAGCATGCGCCAAAGAAGCCAGACGTCAGGGAGCCACACGCGCGGGGGGATGCCCTGGCGGACATGTCGTGTCATTGACCTCGGCGGATGACCACCTCAGTGGCCCCGTTCCGGTACAAGGACGAGCAGGCGCTGGGCCTGGTGGCCATGCAGAACATGAGTGTGGCGGCAGTGCTGGGTTCCGCCCTGCTCGGCTTCTGCCTCTCCCTGTTGTTCTTCATGGACCAGAACATCACCAGCGCCATGGTCAACAACCCCGGCAACAAGTGAGACCGAGCTGCGCTCGCCAGTGGTGGAACCCAAGCCCATGGAATCGTGGGGGTTTAAAGATTCTGCTTGCGCGGTCGGTCGGAGAGAGAAAGATGCCGTCTTCCGTTGGTTGGTACTGGCAAAGAACGCGCCGTTGATACAGAATCACCAAACAAGGGGCAAACCTGCATATTCTAAATCATTAAAACAAAACTGATGTTCCTGAGACGAAACCCAGTGCGCACTTTTTAACAATCTCATCTTATCTGACCGTCGCGGCATATTTATTTATTGTATTTTGAGACCTATCCAAACTCTTCACTTACCCTTTGCGATAGTACATTGATCTTTTCCCTTCCCATGAATGATCCAATTAAATCAGACACATATTGTGCCAGAATCTGTCAACATCTAAGTTCTCCGGAAATGTGCGAATCACCGACCGCATCGCGACATCCTGACATGCACGCACGCGCCTCACGCACGCGCCACACGCACGCGCTTCGGCACGAGAGCGTGTCGCGCCCAGTCGTCCCCCCAGCCGTCAGCGCCGTGACGGCCGACTTGTGCAGGCTGAAGAAGGGGCCGGCCTACCACCTGGACCTGATGGTGGTGGCGCTGCTGAACGCGCTGCTCTCGCTGCTCGGCCCTGCCATGGATGCACGCGGCCATCCCGCACTCGCCGCTGCACGTGCGCAGTATGGCCGACGTCGAGGAGCGGGTCGAGCAGGGCCACGTTTACGAGATGTGAGTGCTGCGGGTGGCGGTGGGCGCAGCTGAGCGGCGCAAGCGGGGCAACATCGTCAATGGTGTCGTGTCGCGTGATCGTAAGTTTTATTTTAAAATGAAACAAAACCAGAAAAGTCACCGCCGCTATTAACGCCTGCCAATGCGATGGTGTTCTCGAATTGGAAGGCGATAATCATGTCAAACGGAGCGAGTCACGCCGCGGCAACATATTGCAGTGCCCCCCTCTCTCTTCCTCTCTCCATCCCTCCCCTCTCTCTCTCTCTCTCTTTTCTCTCTCTCTCCCTCTGTCTCTCTCTCTCTCTCTCTCTCTCTCTCTCTCTCTCTCTCTCTCTCTCTCTGTCTCTCTCTCTCTCTCTCTCTCTCTCTCTCTCTCTCTCTCTCTCTCTCTCTCTCTCTCTCTCTCTCTCTCTCTCTCTCTCTCTCTCTCTCTCTCTCTCTCTCTCTCTCTCTCTCTCTCTCTCTCTCTCTCTCTCTCCCTCTTTTTCGCATTTGTCTGCTGCTGTCATCATCACCCCAGCAATCTCCTTTGGGGACCACAACAAGCCGATAATGGCACGCCTTGTCGGCGGCGATGACGTATGCCAGCCAGCGCCGCGTGCCGAATGCGCGCGCCGCCGGTGCAGAGAGGGGAGCGAGCTGTCACCCGATCCGTCAATGGCCTGCCACCTGCCCCCCCCCCCCCCTCCCCTCCCGGATCTGGCTGACTCCGGTCTCGGCTGCGATCGCAGTGGCGGCTGTGTGGCCCGCTGCGTGACGCGGGGGGGGGGGGGGGTTGATGGAAGGCTCGATGCGGCTCATGGATGGGTCTGGAAGGGCCACGAACCAGGCTGTTTGGGTGGCCAGTCTCAGCCGGATGAGCGCCTGTATTAATTTCGCCGTGTGTCGGCATGTTATCCTGGATCTGACGGCCACGGCCACTTTCGGCTGTTTCGGGTCATTTTGATGTCTCATCTTTCGTCTCCAAGCTTTCGGCATGGCGATTTACGGGAATTGACAGTTTTCCGAACGTGGCCTGTCTCAGAAACCCGTCTATTGATGTTCTGGTAGTGTCAATTTACGACTTATAACAGGCAATTCGTTACAAAGGTATTGCCGGGACGTTTGCGACGCAATTTATATCACTACCACGGTATCTATGTTTGATGCGCGTGCTACGCTGAGACCTCAGCCGACGCTGTGAGTTGCAGACACTTCTGTCGCTAGCGATTTTAATAGAAATGGTCACGTGATCTTCTACTGTCATGTCATGCCATCCCTTCCTCAAAGTCATGCTATCAAGCCGTCCCTTCCCCATCGTGGCATGAGGAAGGGATGACATGATGTAAGAACGTAAGAGGGGGGGGGGGGCCTGGAGTGCCCCGCTGACTGTTCATGTGACTAGTCCGTTGTTCATGCCGACATCATGACAAACACGCTTTCAGTGATGTCGACGCATCAGTGTTTGATATATATGAGACCTCGCCCTGTTTTGTCTTGTTTATCGTCTGGTATGAAAATATTGCTTGCTGCCCGCCTATATAATCAGAATATTTATCAACGCGACATCTTTATTTGATGCTCATTAGTGTTTAATACGCTCAGGACTAAGAGAGGAGCTGAGAGCTTGGTCGGGTTCCGTCGCCGCTCTGCTCTCCCTTCCCAACTGAGGTTGCCGGCGTGCTTCAGCATCGTCAAAGTGCGGGAGACGCGCGTGACGGGCATCCTGTCGCACCTGCTGATCGGCCTGTCGGTGCTGCTGCTGCCCTACCCGCTGACCTACATCCCGCCGCCCGTGCTCAACGGCCTCTTCCTCTACATGGCCATCACGGCTCTTAACGGCAACCAGATGTTCGAACGCATCACGCTCTTCTTCATGGAGCAGGTGAGATGACCGGCGGTGGGATGATGGCGCTGAGCGCTGAGCCTCGCACTGCCGACGGTGAGCCGTCGTGAACGACCAGAACTGCTTGACATCCCGTATGTCAGCTTGACAATAATGTCGGCATGGTGTTGTGTCAGGTCAGCAGATGATCGCGATTTGTCAGAGTGTAGCTGTCAAGTGCAGCCAACGTTCCTGTCAAATGACCTGTCACTGAGTACGGGTCTTACCCGGATTTGATTAAACCAACTCCAGCCATTCCATCGCCATCCGGGAGCATTGCGTCCAATCGACCAGCGTCTTACAATTCCACTGAAAGGCACCGTCTGCCAGAAATAAAGCCCTTTCACTCTCTGAAATGAAGCCGTGGTGAAGCCGTAGTGACGCAGGAGGGAAGCACCCGCTGAATACGCCAAGTGTCAGAGCCGATTTCCTATGTGCTACGTTTGGGTCTGCGGGCACCTGTTTTGCCCGTTGTACAGGGAACGCAATGCCACGAGGAAATAGACTGAAAAAGATGCTGACGTCCATTCACGAACCTCCTCACTAGCGCCGCCTGGCGGGTCCGGTTCCATTTAGGGTGAGAGGTGGGGGAACTTGAGCTCTTCTGGCCAGTCACGACGATTTCAGAGCTTTGAGATGAAGGGAAGCGATCTGGGAGACCTCCGCTGAGGAGAGCCACGACACTCACACCCTCTTCGGGGCATGTGCGGGCGCCCTGGCGACGCTCCCGCCAGGGGGCGCTTAGCCCCGCTCACGGCTGATGCAAGCGGCTTGTCCTGGATAAACGGGGCGTTGTAGGGATACAGGGAGAAACGAGAATGAGGAAAAAGGGCGAATGACCAGTGTGAGGTCCCAATGTTATGTCTCTTCTCGCATCGCCTGGTGGGTGCGAAGCCTTTATCGGCACTCGGCCGGTCCTGGACACTCAGCACTGTCGGCACTCACCAGCGTCATCGCGGCCCGACAGGTGGCATACCCGCCGAACCACTACATCCGGCGCGTGCCGCAGCGCAAGATCCACACGTTCACGGCGTGCCAGATTCTGCAGCTGGGCATCCTGTGCGTGTTCGGCTTCTCGCCATGGTCCTACATGAAGACCACCTTCCCGGTGCTGCTTCTCCTGCTGCTGCCCATACGGTGAGCGGCGAAGGGCAGGCGGCGAGCTCGTGGCAGCAAAGTGGAGATCGGGGCTGGGGGTCTGTGCGGCCGGCAGGTAGTCCGGTGGGTTGAGGCTAGTGGGCGTTTCCTAGGCCGTCACAAGGCTGGCTCAGTAGGCAGTCGTGAAGCAACCGCTCACGCAAAGAGCCGCTCATCTATTTGTTCGTCTGTTGTGTCCTCACGTCGTAGCTTGGCCCGCGCGCGCCGTTAACAGCGCGCGCACGCGCCGTCCCGCCGCAGGCACCGGCTGATCCCGCTGTTGATCGAGGAGAGGTACCTGACCGCGATGGACATGGAGCACTAGCCGGTCTCGGTCGCGCCGGCCCAGCGACTTCCGCGGCCGCCGCGGCGCCCGGGCCGGGCCCAGGTCGGGGCCCCGAGCCGGGCCCCGGCCGAGGTCCGGCAGGGGCGCCAGCTCACGCGGATCGGCACCGCCCCGCGGCCGGCCCCGGCCGGCTGCGGCGGCACCAGCTCAATGGCTTGGCGGGCGGCGGGGGTGGGTGGGTGGCGGCCCCACCCCGGTGATTCCCGGCTGCTCCCACTGGCGGGCCGCGCGTTGTTACTGGCGGATATTTTAGCCGAGCGCTTTTAGACACTGTTGACTGTTGTGCGCGGTGTGAACTTGGTTGAAAGGTGGCGCTGGCAGTCCTGCTGGTTTGTTGGAGGGACTGGCCGCCGCCTTGCCAGGGCGTGCTTTTCAGATCTGTTGTTATGGGTCACTGAGATCCGTCATGCCAAGTATGGTGGTGTCCCGGGTGGATCCCTGCTTCCCAGGGGCAGCGGCCAACTGGCGGCATACGCAACTGGCTCCACCTCTGACCCGACCTCTCTCTCTCGACCTCTCAGAGTTACAGCAAACCCAGCGATCATCGCCGCGTTGTAATGCCTCGCCATATATCTGACTTCCCTTGCTGACGATCCGGGCAACGTTTACCAGGAAATGAATAGAGAACTCTTGTTGCTGGCTTAAAGGGGTGTCGCAGAAATATGTTCAGAAATATTTCGACTACGTGCGAGTAGCAAAATACGACTAATGAAACCGTGCTAAATCACCGTGGAAAGATCCTCGGTAATTTCGGCTTCTAACAAAAATGTGAACAAAATCTTGTTGAACTGAGATGAGAGTATCTTAAACGTTAATGATGAAAGTCGAGGTTTTGATGCTACCTTATGTATTGAATAAGATTACGCGTTTACCAGATTGCCTCCAATGGACTGGTTTCTAGTCAAGGTTTTTTACTCGATTTGCCAGTATCTTAAAACTTAGTTCATCAATGCTCTCAGTGTGTGTAGTTTGCTACCACCGCGGGATAGCAAAGCACGGGACAAATGTCTAGTTCTAGTTTTAGTCTGGTCTTCTTTTTTGCTGGAAATCTAATTGCAGTTTCCTTTCTGCTTCCAAAATCGAGGATGATAATGTAAACAGCGGTGTGTCAGTATATAAGCTCCATAATGTCAGGAACTGTGAACATCAGAGGTCATCGTCCAGGGCCAACTAGTTCAGATACGCGGCACTCGACGTTTCTGAGGTCTGTCCCCGCAACGACAATCTTAATCATTAGACAATCTTCGAAGGGCAATGTACGGTGCAAAGGCTACTCTGAAAGCAATGCAAGGCCACTGATGGGAGTAGGGACGAGCACAGTGGTAGACATGCTAGACACCCTGCGCCAGGACTGTTGACAGGTTATATGCTTCTCAGGGCGACAGTCCAGTAAGCATGAGTTCCAGGTCAGTGTGTGCTTGGTTTTGAAAGCGTTAGAGGGCCAAGCTGCTTAGGTTGGGCAGCGTGGCAGCGTGGATGCATTGTTTCATAGCCCTTTTGCTAATGTATGTTGTGTTCATGAGGTCAGCTCTTATCTGTGTTTGCTGTTGAAGTTAGATGGCGTTTTTGTGGCGAATCGTGTCATTTTAAGAGCTAGGTTTGTTTTGCTGGTGTCATTAGCGCTACGCAGATGACCACTTATAACTTCGTAGCGTTTTGTTGTAAAAGCTTGCTTGAAATCAAAACCCCTTACGCGAGATCAAAATGAGAGCTGTTGTCACAGTGTGGGGCTGACTGGCGTGGGTCGTGTCATGCAAACATGCAAATGTTAGGATAGTTACGCTGCATGTCACGTCAGTTGTCACAAAAATGGGGTTAGGTTAGGTGCAGGGTTCAAATTAGGCAGCACCGGTATTACCGGTAATACCGGCCGGTTACGATGAAACACATAAAAAGGTAGTGGATGTTAGGCTAGTCCGAGATGGCCACCACGTGCCGTTAGACATAGAACACCGGTGCGTGTCGTTCAACATTAGTGCGCTATAAATCTCCCTCTGTTGGATGAGCTTGTCGCTCGACAGGTACTGAATACGACGCGTTTCCATTCCGCCCGGCGGCTCCCAGCTTATTTGAAGGCCGCCTCCGTGCAGGCGTTCTCCAGGCGAACGATTATAGTCTGTTGAACGAGCTGTCGCGTCAGGAATCAGCTCAGTTCCGTCATAGTACAGGCTACAGCACGGACTGTCGAACCTTTCACTGACACCGCCTTTCACAATGATTGCGTCCACCAGTTGGCTGAAAAAAAACGGTGTGACAACCCCGCGTCCTCGCTGATGAAAACGGTGTGTCCCATTTGTAAGGCTACAGTAAAGCTCAAGCCAGTTCGAGCCAGTTAAAGGAATGTTTCACTGCTGTATGGTGGTCCCAACTCATAAAACCACAGAACAGTTCAAAGAGATAATCACAACCATAATATTTTAGTCTAGAACGTTTTGTCTCCTACGCGCCTGAAAGCGCTTCATGCACCGGCCTATTCCAAATCAGGATACTCGGAAGACGAGCCATGCCAACACCAGCGGCCAGGGGTATGGTCGCGACCGCCGTTGCTGTTCAGTGGTTGGTTGGCTTTGAATACGTGCGCAGTGTCACGCACCGAGACCGAACATTTTCGTCCGCAAGTGTTCTACGTTCAGCACTTGTGACGTAAACAAATAGCATGACCATGTCCAGCGTACGCTGTTTAGCGATGTGTATCCCTTCCTGATAGGTCTTAAAAGTGAGACATTCCGTTTAACTGAAACGACTTACCGTAACGGTAGTTAGCTTACAAACAACTGGACAGTTTGGGCGTGGTTTTATATGCGCCGAATGGCCGCGCTTTCTTCATCACCTCCCGTTACCAGCCGGTCTCAGGTGCTGACCAGGTCAGCCCCTGTTCATGTGAGTCACCGCTCGAGACCTACTTTCAGGACATCCTGATCCATTGGCCGGACACGTGGGCAGGTGGAATGCCCGAAGGCCTGACTGTGTTCTTCACACTTTGTGCTTCAGCTCCATTGTTGCGGACGGAGAAATTGATGGCCTTGTTTGTTCAAGGGAAACTGTTGATCGCCAACGCCGTGAGATTGGTATCAAAATGTTTGCCTTATTTATCGGTGGTGAATGTGGTGTTCACTTCATGTGGACTGCATGGGTCAATTCATGAACGCAATAATACAGTTACATTCCGTGCGTTTTCTCTTGGAGTGGCTCCCTATCAGCTAGCCGCCGCGCGGGTCCGACATTTCGTCATGAAAACCGAGGAGACACGAGGGAGAGTCGCCCATTGCGTCATCCAGCGAACACGCGACGGTATGTGGTCCATTCCCAGATATTGCATTTTGCTGTGGTAGTTGCCATACTCCCGCACGGCCGCCGCAGCTTGAACGGAGATTGCTCCATCCTGTTTTCGTGAATAAACAAATAGCGTCGATGATGCAGCATCGCACACATCGCATGTAGGCATAGACCTCACAAGATGGCATGACGCAATATGAAAGCCGACATATCACATCCCACCTTATCTTAAGCCGACTTATCACATTTAGGGGGTTAAAAGCACCCCTCTCTCTCTCTCTCCTTCTCTCCTAGTTTTGTGAACAACTTCCGACCCTTGTCAGGAAGGTTGACCACACTTCCAGGACCTGAGCGTAACATTCTGACACGTTCTTGAATACAACTTGCAGTAAGGCGTTTGCGTTGATGCCATCAGTGAAACAAGGTGTGACAGTTTAAAGTTAGTGGCAGCTGCCTTCATTACCTTCAATTGCTTTGGTGTAATTCATACAATGCCTTGAATGCCAGCGAGAGCCGGTCACAAAACACGAGGCCACGGCCCATCATCATCAGAGGTCATGTGAAGCTGTTGATTTCGGTTTTAGGGCACAACTGCTTGGCTATTCGTCGTCCATAACCAGTGTCTTAATGACGCGGAGTTAATTAAATAGTGCAAATCTACTGGTACGGACAATCTTCGAGCGACGGGTTCAACTTACACCCGCTGAGCCGTAAATTGGACATTATGCCCATGTGTGATAAAACAGCATCCGTTGATGCCCGTTTCTTTCGTTCGAAGATCTCGATGAACCCACATATTTCGACGACCTTTAGAATGTTTTCTACCTACGTGGAAAAGTGGTGCGTAGCTTTTGTTCAGGATCACGTAGAAACATAAGGCTTACAGTCCACGCCATGACAAAGTTCTGCAGCGTAGGAACGTTAGCGTTCGTTGGTATCGGTAACAATGCTATCAGATGACCATTACGAGAACTACAGGGCCCTGAAGTTCAAACAGCATAGCGATTTTGAAGGCACTTCGCGTGAGCTGTGGCGCCATCCGTCAAGTAGCGAATGCCAATTTAAACCCACCTGAGTGAAACTGGCCAGGGCTATCGAGTACCGCTGTATGTTTCCCGATCCCGTGATTAGAGATGCAACGATAACGCTTTTAGCCACTAGACGGTCCTGGTTGGCAAAGTAACTCACGAAAGGTCGGGGTGTTTCACTTGGCGGATGGCTCCAGTTCTTTGCGCAAGACTAAACGGGAACTTTGGATCGTCCGTTGGATGTGCACTTGGGCGCAGGGACCACCACCCACATCAAATAACGCCGTCATAAAGCATCAGGCAGTCGACCGAAATTTGTGTATGGAATTATCTCTCCTCTCTTGACATGAAATAACTTGATCGTGCTTACCTGGTTGCCCTTACGGAGCTTCCCGGAGCTGAAGTTTGATTATTCACATGTTCCAACTTTTTAGACGATTTGACGTGTTCACAGTGCTTGATGTTTTACTCATCCGCTGGTCAAAGTTCCACACTTGCCCTCAACGGTAAACGTCGGTTTGAAAAGAGAGCCGGAGTAGCTGTTAAATTAACGGAAATCTGCACAGTCCAGCCGCTAAAGGAAGTCAAAGAGGCCATTCGACTACACGAACGGCCGCCTAAAACGCTCGTCACACACAAACATCTATTCCTCGGGGTCGTGAGCAGAATAGCTGCCGCCTGGCGTCA